CCATGGACTCTAAGCTGGATAATGAGGGAAGGAAGTATAGGGGTGGGTGACGAAGAGTGAAAAAGTGGTAGGGTCCGTGAATAGGAGGTCTTGATGGGCACGAAAAATTGGGTTGGGTAACTTGAAGGAACAAGCAGGAAAAATAGGAGTCGGTGAGTTGTCTAAGCCCAGGATGTTTGAAATGTAAATTTTGGAGGTGATGCAGTTACTTGTAATGACAAAGGCTAAGATGTGGACATAGTAGTTGATGGCTGACATGGGGTGAGGAAGGTGAAGTGAGGTGGTCAAGGATGTGTTGAGGTCATAAAGAAGATGGGAGGAGAGACCGCAGGGAGCCCAGAGCTGACACCACCAGTGAATAGGAGCAGGCCTGCCTCCTGCAGGGCCCAGTGCAAGAATACAAATGGAGGTGCATACACCTTTAATAATAGTTAATATTATTTAAAATTTCTAAATATTTAAAACTAAATAGTTTTAATATTTATTTAAAATATTTAAGTAAATATTTAATAGTTAAAATATTTAATGTTTTAATATTTAAAGTAGTTAAAATAGTTAATTAACTTTAAATAAAGTCTAAATATTTAAAAGTTATAGGTCAAGCCACCAAACTTTAATAAAATATGTCTATCCTTTTACCTGGACAGATGTACCTTTATAACCTTCTGCAAGAGGAAATTTGAAATGAAAATTCTGAGTCTCTGGATTTTATGAGAACAGCTTCTAGAACCCTGGACTTCTAGCCCCAGACCATGGGCTGCTACTCACCCAGCTCTGCCCCACACTGTGAGGGGCTTTCAGTGCTCACATCTAAGCTCCAGCCGCACCCACACTGGGAGGACAGATCCAGGGGACAGACCCCTGCTGCATAGGCCCTGGAGCAGACTCAAGTGCTGGTTGGGCAGGGCACTTGGAACAAAGCCCAGAAGAGGGACACAGGGGCGAGCAGTGTCAACCCTTGGCCCGTGGACTTCTCATCCACTGGGGAGAGGTGCCTTCAGAAGAGGGCAGAGGGGGCCTTCTTGCCTGGGTCCGAGGTGGGACTTCTTAGGGGTCAGTGGGTGATTGCAGAAAGGATAGCAGGGCATCTTGTCATGCGTCTCAAAGAGGCCCAGGTTTTGGAGAGAGAACACCAGAGAAGTGGTTAGAAGAGCAAGAAAGACACCTCCCAGACCCCGTGGAGGTGGCCAGGTGAGCCGAGGCCATGGGCGATAGCCTCAGATGCCCGGTGCGGGGATGGACGGAGCTGCACATCCATGTTCCACGCTGGAATCCAGCATGCTTGTACTTCTTCCTGTGGTGTTGGCCCCCCTGGGATATTTCTCGTGTCTTATCTTTTTCCCTGTGTAGTTTGGAATCTGTCCCTGCTGACTTGTCAGAGATCTTTTGGGCTAATATCTGTGCGAGACATCACAGAAGCAGAGACATCCCTTGGGTCATCGGAGCCTACACTGGAGCCCCTTGAGGGTAGAGCTGTGCCTCATTCGTCATTGCTCTCCTGTAGGGCTGGGCACATTACATGACTGTTGGGCCAATGCCCAGGCCTGCTGCCATGCAGTCCTGCAGGCGGGTACTTAGAGGAGGAACAGGCCTTTGAACTCACCCTCTTTCCCAGGGAGTCTATGTATTGTGTAACTTTTTATTTTGAAATAAGTATAGATTATGCAAGGGTAGTGCAGAGAGGACATGTCTCCTTTAAGTTTCCCCCAATGGTTACATCTTACCTAACTACAGTACAATAGCAAAACAAGAACCTTGACATTGGTACAGTGTGTAAGGTTCTCTGCCATTGTATCACTTGTGTCATATAACTTTATTCATATAACCACCACCTCAAGCAAGATGAGGACTATTCCATCAGCACAAAGATCTCCCTTTGGGAGATAGCCACCCCACCCCTCCGTCCACCTCTGGCAGCCGCTAATCTGTTTCCCTCTCGATAATTTTGTCATTTCAAGAATGCCTATAAACAGGGTCTTACTGTATGTGACTGTTTAAAATTGGCTTTTTCCACTCAGCATAATGCCCTTGAGATCCATCCAAGTGTTGCATGTGCCAACGGTTCACTCGTTTTTATTGCTGAGCAGGATTCCGTGCTATGAATGTCACAGTTTGTTTAACCATTCACTCACTGAAGGATGTTTCGGTTGTTAACAGTTTTGGACTGCTGTAAATAAGGCTGACAAATAATCACGTACAAGTGTTTGTGTGGACAGAAGTTTTCGTTTCTCTGGGATAAATGCCCAGGAGTTCAATTACTGGCAAAAATATGTTTAGTTTTTAAAGAAACTGTCAAACTCTTTTCCAGGGTGGCTGTGCCATTTTTCTATTCTCACTGGCAATGTCTGAGAGGTCCTGGCTTCTGTTTAGAATAATAAAACTTTATTATTTTAGATTTAATTAATTTACAATTTATGGCAATTTAAACATTAGACATATCCTTGGTATAAAGCATAAAATAAGGGACATGAGTGGGAATTGGTTTTAGTGTTGAATTCTACTTGATTATATATCCTACTTGCAAGAGCTGTATATAAATATGAATAAACATGGTTTTTGAAATTGAAACAATTAAATTTTTAAAAAAAAATTCAAATTTGAATATTTCAACACTGAATTAGGATTTTTCCTTGCTTTAATTTGAATGAATGAACTTAGAGATAACTACAGAAGGGGACTGCTGCTGGTGCTGGTATTTGTGACAAGCAAGGTGAGGCGGTGGTGACTTTTAGCAGACCCGCACGTGCCTGGGCGTCAGTGATTTAGGGTTGCTCTCTGCTCTCGTCTGGACCAGCCGCATGACCGGAGGAGTTCACTTTCTCCCTCTGGGCCTCTGTTTCTTCAGTTGTACATGGTTAGCTTGAACAAATTACGAAATAAAAATTACCTGGGCCGCAGTGGCCTAGTGGTGAAGTTTGCGCGCTCTGCTTCGGGGGCCTGGGGTTCGCGGGTTCACTGTGGTGGCGTCCCACATAAAGTAGAGGAAGATGCACACAGATGTTAGCCCAGGGCCAATCTTCCTCAGCAAAAAGAGGAGGATTGGCAGCGGATGTTAGCTCAGGGCTAATCTTCCTCACACACACACACACACAAAATGACCTGTGCCCTTGCTAAAATGCAGATGCCCCTGGCACTCTCCAGAGATTCAGGTGCAGCGGGTCTGGGGTGGTGCTGGGAATCTACATCTTATCGAGTCCAGTTCGAATCTGGGGAGTAGTCAAATTTGGGAGAAACAGCACAAGATGGTTGCAATTATTGTAATATGCTTTACTAGCTATTGTAGAATGCAAGTTGCTTTAAATAGGAAAAAGTTTAATTTTTGAAAATATTATATGATGTTTATTAGTTTTTTTGAAGCAATATAACCCAAGAATATAAGGAGAAAAAAACTCCCCAAATAGACAATAATTTCCCTGACTAAATAATAATAGCTAATTAATGACTAAAGAATAATAACTCAAAACTCTCTCCAAAGCAGCCAGTATCAAGTTTCTAGTGATTCCTCCTAGAAAAAGAATATAGAATACATATAAGTAAATATAACATAAAAAATATATTATATCTATATATTCCTTATATATCTATTTACACTAAGAGGAATCATAGAGGGTGATTCTACGCCTTTCATTTAAGAAGATCTTCTTGGCAGTTGTTGAAAGCCAGCACACAGATCTACCTCCCTCCTTTGCACAGCTGTGTAGTTGGTTTTCCACTGTGTGGGAGCCTGAATTTATTTCTCTGTCCACTGTTGATGGACACTTTGGTGCTTCAGTTCTTCACTGCTACAAAAAATGCTGCAATGAGCATCCTTCTTTATATGCTTGGGTGAACTTTTGCAAGAATGTCCACGGGGTCTGTTGGTCAAGGTTGGGTTTGCAAAGGATATGTGCATTTACAGTGTTAACGAATGTTACCAAACGCCCTGCAGAGAAGCTGCACGAATCCACACCCCACTTCTGGCACCCGGGACTGCGTCACCACACCCTCTCCAGCACTGGGTTTCGTCAAATGTCATTATTCTATTTTTTGGTCAATATATGAAGCAAAACGCATATTTCCTTTTACAAGTCTCTCAGTTTTGAAGCTGCTGTTGATTTAAAGGACACCAAAGATCTGTTCTTCCACCTGACCCTCTACAGAGCTGTGATCTGATTTTTGCTGTTTCCTCTCTCCCCTGGCTCCTTTCTGAACCCAAGTACCAGACAGGGTGAGAATTCCTCTTTCCCCTTCTCTAACCATATTCCTCTTTTATTTAAAAAAAAACCAAACATTTTATTGAGGTATGATTGACATACAAAGTGCTGTATATATTTAATGTCTACAACTTGATGAGTTTGGAGATAAGTACACACCTGTGAAACCATCACCACCATCTATGCCATAAACATATCCATCGCCTCCAAAGGTTTCCTCCTGCCCTCTTTATAATTATTATTATTAATTTTGTGTGTGTAGGGATCACAACCACATTCCTCTTGCCTTCCCACCGGCAGCTCCACGTCGTTGTTCCTCACTATGATCTTGCATGTTTCTCTGCCCTTTGGGGTGCGGGTCCAAAGTCTGACTCCCTTAAAGGACACAGAGGACGTTGAGTTAATAAAGCGAAAGCTCGGCTTGTGGCTGGCCCTGGTTCCTTGCAGGACTCTATTTTTTGATTGGACCAGGAGGTAAAGTGACATCAGTGTAAAAGCCCTGGCTGAGCTGCAATCCCATTGCCTTCGGTGGCACCTAATCCATTGAGCTCTTACAGGCTCTCTCACGGGTCACCGGCTTTGAGGACGCAGGCTGCTGGGGGGGCTCTGCCTGCTAAAAGGTCAGAGACTGCGCAGGCCTCAGGGCCTGAGAGCAAGTGGCAGGACAGGCAAGGGCCCTTGTTGACTCTCTTGCTGGGCGGCCCAGTGCTTAGTAACACACAGTAAACAAAGGCAGCAGCACCGGCGACAGTGGCAGCTAGGTAGAGTGACGAGCAAGAGATCCCCGCTCATTGTTGGAATGTTGTCCATGATGAAGGCCTAGACAAGGTCCCGGAGACTTTCGGATGCAGCCTTTGACACAGGACACAGGTACTCCTTGGCATCATTCCCTTTTCTCCTGTCAATCTGGATCAAGGGAAGGGCAAACCCATTCCCTGGGTCTGGGTGTCGGGAATAAGGATACTACAGCTGGGTTATGCCCTGTGTTAATGAGTCTTTGCAGTATTATTTGGAGTATGATTTGTTCCAGGCTACTGGTAGGGCCTGAACCAGACCGTGCATTTGTTTTTCAGCGATAGAACATGGGTTCAACAGAGAAAACATGGGGTTTGGGGTCAGGCCAACCCTCGTTTGGCTTTGCAGTTCAGCATCTGTTCAAACTCAAACAAATGTTTTAACTTTCTTGAGACTCAGTTTTCTCATCTGTAAAATGGGGATAATAGTACCCATATTACAGCGTTGTTGGGGATGCATGGGATGACGTATGTGAGGCACTTAGCACATGCTTGGAGCATAAGAGTAGCCCCAAAATTGATAGCTGTCACTGTCTTTCAGCAACGAATGTTCTGGTTATTGCTTAAAGGTCACTGGTTTAAGGTAGGGTCTCAGGCCACATCTAGTTGACTTCCAGAAAATGATGGAAAAAGAAAAAAGTGTCAATGATTCACCCGGTTTTATACACATGCTTAAAGGAAAGTTGAGTTTTTCAATACTTTAAATAAGTTTTTTTTTTAAAGCAGCAATTCAATTCAGAGATGAGATGTGTATATTTCTCCTGGCTATATCCTGTGATTTGCTGTAGACTATAGCTGAAACTAAACAATTAGTTTATCAATTCAACAAGCACCCAATATCCTGGGTGCCAAGCCAGGTGCCAGGTGCTGGCGACACCTCTCTCTGCTCAGAGGATCTTCCAGATGAGTGACGGAGCTGGATAGGTGAACCTACATGACAACTTGTGGTAGCAAGTGCTGAAATGGCACAGGCTTCTGGAGGAGGTGATATTTGAGCACAATTTGAATGCTAGGTGGGAACTAGCAGGAAGTGGGAGGGGAGGAGTTGGGGAAAGGCATCCCAGGCAGAGAAAAGCAGTGCAAAGGCCCAGTAGCATGAATAAGTAAAGCATATTCTAGGAACAGCAGGAAGTTTGGCATAACTTCAGTGAAATGTGAGTGTGGGCATCGGGTGAGAAAGGAGGCTGCAGAGGGTGAACAGGGCAGAGCAAGGACGGCCTTCTATGGCTTGCATTTCATTCAGAAGGTCCTGGAAATTGATCATTTTAATGAGGGGGATGTTATGATTGCATTTAAATATTAGGAAGATTATTATGGTAGGAATATGGGTATGGGATTGGAGGGGATGAAGCCTGGAATGATGATGGATGGCCGAACCTAAGGAAACAACAGTGGAGATGGAGAGCGCCTCCAAGCAGGTGCTGCCAAGGCTATGAACTAAACCAAACATGTGTATATATACGTACATAAGTTCATTATGAATTTTTTTGATATGAAGGGTGTGTATTCACAATCTACAAGTAATAAAATATTTAACAATCTTTACTGCATATTCCATATAGCCGATTGATTCACAGGGAATGTATTCATTGATTTTTGCTGAACAGTGGTATCCTTAGTCAGCCTATATTTGCAACTGATCAGTGAATGTAGTTCTAACATGAATGTTGACTGATATTTTTGTTTATATTGACAAGTAAGGAGAAAGTTAAGCAATGAAGGTGAATGTCTTAACTTCACTCATCTGTCAATGACGTGAGTGACTTCTTTGCTAAACTGGATAACAGTTTTTGAATTCTGGAAGAATATTTCCTCACTTTTTGTGCTATTCACAATGTAACAGCTATCCATATGACATATGTTTAGGTTTAATCTGCATTATTAACATTTTCTCCATCACTTCCGTATGTCTAGACAATCAACAAAAAAACAAACCAAGCCTGATTTTGTCAATTCTTTTGCCAATTTCTATGGTGTGAACACTCCCACTATGGCCACTTCCCAGCTCCCAATGTGGTATCAGTGAACACGAAGCTGGAAGAGATGTGCATGAGCAAACCATGGTGTAATATTTCCACCACGTACATGCAGTTGCTTTAAATAACCCAAAGGTAATAGACAACAGTAAAATGTAGTAAGATAATTAGGAAATAGTGAATTTTGAGTATATTGTTAACATAATTTATTTAATTGGAAGTTTCTATAACTTAATTTTTTACAATGGCTATGTTTAACAACCAGCTTGTAAAATTCCTGAAGATTTAATAATTGGCTCTCACTGGTCCGTAGGAGCCTTCTTCAGCACATCACAGGATCCAAGAGAGTTTAAAGAGGCGGAATCCATGGGGATAGGGGTACGATTAGTAGGGATGAGAGAAAGGGGGACAAAGAAAGGAATTAAGAAGAATGCCCACCTCTCTCTATGGGCAAATATATCACTCACCAAAATGGGAGATACGGGAGTGGATTCAGGGGTGCAAGTCAGTGCCAGACTCTTTGTAAAGACCAATGTGAAAAGACAACTATGAATTGAAATACAGAACAGAGAAGGATGAGGGCTATCTGCAGGCTTCAAGAGAAGTCACTGGACTTCTTCAGATGCCTGCAGACTTGGTGCTCACGTCCCTGTCAGCAAGTCCCTGTGGGGGAGGGGTGGGGTCCTATTCTTTGAATTCCCAGCATCTAAACTCCTAGGCCTGGCTCAATGGAATTTTTTTTGGCTAAGTTATTCTGCATTAATCGTTTTATTTTTAAACTAATGTTTGCTTTGCCCTTCTATAAAATGAATGTAATGCTACTTTCTACAAACTGTGTTTTGAGCCTCAAAGAATATCTGGAAAGCAATGTAAACCTTCCTTGAGAGACTCTTGGGTACTGTCCCTTGCCCATGCTGTCTCTCCATCGTTCATGCTTATTGGAATTGAGGTTATGGAGGAAGGAGAGCGCCTGCTCAGAGGGGCCTGTGACCCAAGGGAGTGCTCTAGGCGGGCCAGGCACACAGCCTGAATGAGAGCATGTGTAAAAATAGCACTGTGACCGTTTCTCCGCCTCTCAATCCTCCTAGTCTCTCGCCCTGGTGGGCACCCCTCGCCCCCACATCATCCCCTTTTGCAGGTTCTCTTCCGCTCACAGCTTCTGTATTCAGGCCACACGAGCTGACACTGGATAGCTGGTCCTGGTTTTTGCCCTCAGTTTGTCTTCTGATGAGTCATCCACCGAATTCCCCACCCCTGATCTAAGAGAGTAGTTACCCAAGTAGCCCAGGGCACTGACAAGCCCTAGTTAGGGGTCTCCTTAGTTACCTAACACAGCAATTCTACCTCCAGATTCTAATTGGCTGCAGCAATTGCCTGCCTGTAACTGGTTCTTCCAAACGAGCCAATGGGACCTGGGGCAGTGCCATCTGTAGCTTGTAGTGTGCAGATGAACCACCCAGTGATCTTGTCAAAATGCAGATTCTGACTCAGGAGGTCTGGGGAGGGCCAGAGTCTGCATTTCTAACGAGCTCCCAGGTGATGCCAATGTGGCTCATCTGAGGGACCACACTTTGAGTAGCCAGGTCTGGGCGGTACAGCCTAGGCCAGTGCCACCTGCAGCCCCATCGGTGAGGTCATTTCTGCCCTCATCCCCTAATTTTGTGGGTTTGTCCTTACCCTATCTCCTGCCCTCACCATATGCTCAATGTTAATCATACGACTAGCTAGCATTTATTGAGACGCTACTGTGAATCAGACACAATAGCTCATGTCACAGATGAGTAAAGAGAAAAAAATAACTTGCCCAAGGTGGACGGGATCAGTCCAACTCTGACCTCAGAACCTGCCCTCTCAGACACTCTGCTTTGCTATTCCCATTTTCCTTCCGAGATTGATTAGCCCTGAGGTCAGTGCTTTTAGCGGTGTTCCTCTCAGACCCCTCATCCCCGAGTCTGTCTGGCTAACTCCCTTTCCTAGACTTGGTCTTCATTTTGTTCCTGGCCACTGGCAGCTCTGTTGCTAATTGACTTTTTTTTTCTTGCCTTGGCTGTAGAGCTCCTTTTCTCTATATTTTCATGAGTTAAAATGGTTGTAATAGCCCAATGTCCTTGGAAATTAGGTTGTGAGGGAAAGTGAGCAAGTAGTGAAGGAAGGCAGGAAGGGCATCTGCGGAACAGTGGATAAGGGCCAGTTCATGGAGGGCTGGTGCCAGTCAGGGGGTAGATTCTGATACCAAGCTGTCAGAACTTCCTCTTCCATAGATTAAAGACGTGTAAGAAAGTGTCTGGCTAGTAGGAAATGTGTTGGGCATTTAAGAAAAGTGTCATCTAAGTATTTTATTTCCTGTGTCAGTATCATTTCTGCATGATGCTCCACAGAGTACATGCAGCTCCCGACTTATTCGTTGATTTACTCAGTCATCCAGCCTATGAGGAAGAAGGAGCTCCCGGTGGGAGTGTCCACACACAGTCTGTGGGAAGGGCAGGAGGTGAGGGGGTGTGGTGCGTCTGAAGCACGGAGAAAGGCTATGAGGGCAAGTGGAAGTGGCTGAAGATCAGTGTGGAGGGTGGACTGAAGGTCTCATAAGCTTCATTCAGGAGTTTGGAACCTAAACGATCCTATGGACAATAGAAAGCCACTGAAGGTTTGAATGTGGAGGATTAACAATCAGATTTGTGTTTTAGGAAGAGGTCTCTGATGGAGAATGGATTGAGGCAGTGGTAAGACGGAGGGTGAGGAAACTATTTGGGAGAATAGTGGTTATTCAGGCAGCGGATGCTGGTAGCTCAGACCAGGCCAGTGTCAGCGGAGCTGGGAAGAAATGTGTGGATTTGAGAGAGATTTTGGAGGTGGTGATTAAGAGCATGGGGAGTTGAAGGACAGGAGACAAGAATGATGCCTGAAGGTTTGGCTTGAGCAGCTGTGTAGGCAGTAGTACAATTTATTTGGATAAGGAGTTGGAGGAGGAGGAGTTGAAGGGAAGATGATTTCAGTCTTGAGCATCCAAGTGATGCTGTCTAGTAGGCAGCTGGGAATACCAAGCAGGAGCTCAAGAGAGGAGTCTGAGCTGGAGACACTACTGGAGGTGATGGGTTGAGAG